GCCAGGGCAACAGAGCCAGACTCTGTCTCAAATAAATAAATAAACCTCTTAATTAGGACTATACACATAAGATGTGTGTAACATAAAATCTGTTACACACATCTTGCCTACCCAGTTACTGAAAGCTGGCTGAACCACTTATTCCAATAAAAGTTTAAGGTGCTGCAACAGATAATTTACTGATGTCTAAATATGTGATATCTGCCAAATCGTTAATTCCATTAGAACATCAGCCAAACTTAATTGTTTTTAACAAGGCTTGATTCCATTCTTAGCGGATTAGAGATGTCTTCCCTGATACTCCTTTTGTAAATTAATAGTTGGTTTCAATAGTCCTTTTTCCTGTGAAGATCATTGCTGCATTGCCAAGTTCCCATCCAGACAGCCCTGCTGGCGGTCCTCCTCCTGGTTTTAGTCCTGACCTCCAGGCGCCCACTGCTTTAGGCGTGCCACCTTCAGGTGCCTGCTGTCTTCCTGCTGTGTTGTACTGAATTTATCTTTCCTACTTTACTGCCTCAGTTCCTTTTTTTGTCAAGTCTGGACAGCCCGTTAGCAGATCTCTTCCTTTCCAGCTGGAACAAGTTCCTCTTCTAGCTGAGGCCTGACTTGAATCATTCCTTCTTTTTTAATATTACAAAGTTACTGGTGCAAAAGAAACAAATGAGTGAAGCAGTGTGCCAGAGGTAGACCCTACTTTAAATAAGAAGGAAGCACCAGGCACATTGGGAATCCCAACATTTTGGAAGGCTGAGATGGGAGGATTGCTTAAGGCCAGGAGTTCGAGACCAGCCTGGGCAACATAGTGAGGTCCCGTCTCCACAAAAAATAAAACAAATTAGCTGGGCATGGTAGTGCATGCCTGTAGTCCCAGCTACTGGGGAGGCTGAGGTAGGAGGATCACTTGAGCCCAAGAGTTCGAGGTTACGGTGAGCTATGATCAGGCCACTGTACTCCAGTCTGGGTAACAGAGTGAGACCCTGTTTCAAAAATAAAGAGATCATTTAAAAAGGAATCACAAACCAATGGAAAAGATTGTGCAGGACCATGCCATCAACAATGTTAGACCAACAGGTTAGTAATTTGGAAAAAAAAAAATCTCATTTTAGAGCCTTATTTCATACTACAAAATTCCAGATGAATTTTTGGAAGCCATATATAGAAACTTTCTATAATCAAAGAAAGGACTTTCTAAGTTGAGATGCAATAGAGCAGTTCCTTAAAGGGAAATGTTTAACATTTCCAGGTATACCCATCTAGCCCCTATCTAATTGATATGACTAATGTGGCTGTTTTAAAGAAAATGATGAAAAAGCCTAAACAGCATGGGTAAAAATAATTACAGCAAAATGCAGCACACATAAATATATAAAGAACTGATTGAAATAAATGAGAAAAGTGAAGAATAGTTCGACTGTCCCCCCATAGACTATTGTACAGCTATTAAAATAAGAGTGGAGGCCGGGCATGGTGGCTCACACCTGTAATCCTAGCACTCTGGGAGGCCAAGACGGGTGGATCGCTCAAGGTCAGGAGTTTGAGACCAGCCTGAGCAAGAGCAAGACCCC